TGAGCCACTGGTGGGACCCCCGTGTGATGACACGTACAGGTTATTGGATAGTGGAGACATACAGGTGGAGGATGTCCCGGGCACCTTCAACCCTCCATTGTTAGAACTAGAAATGCAGGGGCCTATGCCAGTAGCCGAGGGGCCCTCAAAGGAAACCTCCCCATCTGTCGCTCAAGAGGATGTCTCCCCTACCACAGCAACAAAGATTCTCAATAGGCGAGACAGGGTAATAAGACCAGTAAAACGGTTAACTTATGATGCACCTGGGGTGACTAGTGAGGAGCCAATACATTTAGCACACAGGCTTGTGGAAGCTAAAGTGGGCTATCTGAGGCCCTTTGGAGGGGACCAGTGAGTTGGTATAATAGGGAGTGTGATTTGTCGGAATGACAAATTCTCGGCTGGGGGGGGATGTAAGCAGAGTCAGGATGAGCTCTACCCTGACATCTGGTGGTGAATTATGGCGAGTGTGGAAAAGAACTTCAGGGGCTGATCTTGTTTGCATAGGCACACCCACTCGCCTGGCATGAGCCCACGGCCGCCCAAAATGGTCACTTTGGCAGCTGTAGAATCCCCAGTTTCTCTGTTATTGGGGCAGGAGGAATAAAGTGTTGTTACCCTGATTATGTGAATCAAGGACAATGAAACTGTTTTATGACAGAGGGTCTCACTATCACCTAAGCAGCACTCACTAGACAAGGGACATTGATTCCAAAACCTAGTGAAGTGAGAGTGCTTTGGGATAGGTATGTATACCTGATGGTTTGGGCCCCTTTTGAGAGCCTGGAATACCAATTGTACTCTCTCCACTGTTGAATAGCAGAGCTAATTTTGATTCTATTAGGACTCTAGCTAGAGGCTGCTGAGCTGAATTCACTTTGGGTTAATGGTGCATTAGCACTGGGGCTCCCCTATTACAACTGAAATCACTAAAAGAGCTAAAATTACTGATCTGAGATCACTGAGTGCTGTGTTAACTAGTGGGGTGAGCCTAAAGATATATTGCTAAGTGGCGTGCGGAGTGGAGCAGTTTGTGGGACGGTTGGAGTGGCTCACGGGACAGCGAGCAGAGCAGTTTGCAGGGACGGCTGGAAGACTGGACCGGAGCGGCTGGTAGAGCAGAGCCATTCGTGGTGAAGGCTGCAGCAGAACTCCACGGAGAGGCGGGGCAGTCGGCCTCGGACCATGTAAGGTGCCCCTTAACACCCGGTATCTCTCCCCCCCCCATTTCCACCCAGACTGGGGGGAGGGGGAGGGTAAAACTCTGCAGATAAACTTTTGGACTCTGGGGCAGCACTGACCAGGGTCAGAGACTTTTGGACTTTGGGGTGATTGGACTTAAGACCCTGAGGGGAAAAGGACACTGCCAAACTTACTTGGAGGTGGGTCTTTTGCTCATGGTTTGTGTTATGAATCCTGTTTGTGGTGTATCCCCAACATGATGCCGCATTGTTTCCCTCCTTTATTAAAAAGCTTTTGCTACACTCAGACTCCGTGCTTGCGAGAGGGGAAGTATTGCCTCCTAGAGGCACCCGGGGGGTGGTATGTAATTGTCCCAGGTCACTGGGTGGGGGCTCGAACTGGTTTTGCATTGTGTTATTGAAACAGAACCCCTAGATACTGAACCCGGCCCTTGTTGCTGCCAACTCAGAGGGGCAGAAGGGTTACATATATTAGAACCTAGGCAGTGCCAGACAAGATCAGCCCCAAGGGCCATCCAGCCCAGTCACCAGCACCAGCTGCTTCAGCGGCAGGTAGAAGGACCCCACAGGAGGCAGCTTTAATCTGCCCAGAAAGACACTTTCTTCCTAAACCCCAACAGGCAGAGGCTGCGTTAAGGCCTGAAGCATTAAGATTTATTCCTTCCAAAATGGTTAGTTTTTGTTGTTTGAATCCTGGCTCCTGGCCATTTTTATCCATACAGATGTCCAGTCTGCTTGGGAACCCCGCTAAGCTCAGCTCCTCTCCAAAGCCCCTCTCCCACAGTGATCACTCAGCACTTCCCCAGGGCTGGGGAGTATGACTAGCCCCATTGTGCAGAAAAGGAAGGGACTTAGCCACAGTCACCCAGGGAGTCAGGTGTTAGAACTGGGACTAGAACTCAGGTGACTCAGTGCCCTGCTCTCCCCTCAGGAGACACAGCCAGGTGCCATTTCAGAGTGGTCCTCCAAATAGGATTTACATTTTTCTAGACAGGTTAACTCCTTCCCCCTTCACCACGTGGGGTCACAGGATCTGAATCCCTGCATGTAAACCCCAGCACAGCTACCGCTAGCAAAACCTCCTGGTGACGTGCATGGTCCAGGGCTGTATTCAGCACAGCTGCTCGTTCGGGCACCCTGCCCATTTCTTCTCTCATTCTCCAGGCTCCATCCCTTAGCCCAGGCTGGGCTGGAGGCGGGGCTGGTCATGGCACCTGCATCCCAGGCCTTGGTTACAATTCAGAGCGTTACCGTGTCTGAGCATGGCTGGGAGTTATATGGGGCAGCTGCCTACAGCAGGGTTCTCTTCAGAGGCAGCTGGAGCCGGCCACTGTCCGAGAGAGGATACAGGGAGAGCTGCACCTCGGGCAGCACCAGTCTGGCCAATCTGACGATGCTGTTAGCAGCAGGTGTGGACCAGGCCCTGCAGCGGTCAGCTGGGGTTGACCCCTGCCCCAACAAGCCACAGACTGGTGGGGAAGCAGCATGGCTCTGGGGCTCTTCCGTGGCATTCAGGGTCAGCCTGTGCTGCGTCATTGCCAGGGCATGTGGCCTCGCACATGCGGTGCCGGGACCCCTGGCCATTCCAACCCAGGGATCTTCTTTCTAGAGAGCTGAGCCATTGCCCCTGCCAGCATTTCCCCTGGCTTTGTTCTGCCCGCAGAGTCACATCCACATCTGTGCTGGGCTGTGGGATTGGCCCCTTCTCTAAAGTCAGCTGGGGGCTGTGTGTAGAGAGAGTGAGACAGAGACTTTTAACACCCCCTGTGGGGCAGGTGCTGCACACATCAAACCGTCTCAGAGTTACACCTCCTGCAGTCCAGCAGGCAATCGTGCCGGTGTTGCTCTCACACCCTCTGTGGAACAGAGGCCTGGGTGACAGACAAGGGCCTGGGGTGGATGGAGAGTACTTACGTGTTCTCATGGTGACGGATTTGCTCGGCAAGCTGCTGAACTTGGCACTGATCCTCCGTCTGCCGTCCACCAGCTCAGTAAACCTGGAAAGGGAAAGAATTATTAGCCCTCGTACAGTGGCCCAGCAGGTGCTCCCCCCCACAAAAATCAGTGGGCTACAGCACACAGTTATATGGCTTGCCGACAAGATTGCTCGTTCAGCTGGTGGGCCCTAGCAGTGGCATTCTGCGTGCAGAGAGCAGCCTGTGGAAAGGAATTGTGATGGACTACGCTGAGCGTAGCATCAGCCAGAGGATGAATACGCTGGTCATTTAAACTGCGCCAATGGTGTTGCAAAATCTTGTTTCAATTTGTTTTGTTTCCAGTGCTATCCTGGAGCCTGCAAAGTGAAGGCTGTTTGCAAAGTCCTGTACCGTTCCTCTTGGTGACATGTAGGCACAGAGGGGCTCTGATATCAAATGGCGCTTCAAGGCACTACTGGGACACAAACAATCAGCATCAATGCAGGAAGCCTGTGGCGCACACTCCTGAAGTGCTGCATTAACACCGCAGCAAGTGGGAACTGAGATGCAGAGAAATAACTAGGGGCACATTCTATCAGTTATGTGGGTACAACTGCCATGGGGAGCCAATCCCATGGCGGCTATGCTGGCTTTGTAGCCACATAGCCCACTGAGGAATCTGGCGTTTCATGCAGGTTTTGGAGTCTGACTGCCCTTGACAGTTTCCTGTCTGAGGAGTTGCAGTGATTAGCAGGAGGAGTGCGTGTGGCCACGATACAGATGCGTTGAGCAGCAGAGGGCACCTCTACTACATTCTCCTGTGTCCCACCATGCATTTCCAGGGCACTCAGCTAGTCTACACCCCAGTGTCCGCTTTCTCCTCTGGGTTTATTGTGTCCCATCTCCTCCAGCTGCTCACCCCACTTAAAAAATCTGAAGAGCTTCTATTTAAAATGCAGATCTCTCCCTTGACCAGGAGGAGCAGGCCTGGTTTGTGTTACTGGCTCCAGGAAGGGGTGCAGCAGGCTAGATCCAAGGTGGGCACAGCAGTAAGGAGATGGCTGAGGATCTGAAACATGGGCCAGGCAGCTAGTGTCCACCGGGGTGGGGGTGGGGAGGAGAGATTCCATGCTCATACAGTGGAGCAACTGACGAGCACTGGGTTGCATAGGTTGTGGCAACTTCATGGAGAGGTTACATTTGAATAGGGCACTTGGGATGGGCTGTTTAAAGCTACTCTGAAACTTGTCATGGAAGTGGGGCTGGATGCTCAGTCCCCTAAAGGAAATCAGGCATCCAGAGCCACCCACCAACTGTGAACATCCCACCCACCCTTTGTACACATGGGAGAGGCAGGTGCACTCCAGCTCCCAAGGGTCAGAGCCAGGGCAGCAGGGGATTTGCTGGGAGCATCCCCCATGCACTAACCAGACTGTTCTAGGGCTGTGTCCCTCCCAAGTGCTGGCTGCCAATCATGTGATTATATGGTGGATTTCTGACGTGGCCAAATATACACTGAGAACTAGAGCAAGGCCAGGAAATGTGGCTTACATGTGACCTGATCTGTACTGGAACATAAGGGTTCAGTAGAAGTGGCCCATTCCCGCTCTCATCCACATGTTATTTGTTAGTGCTCAGACTTCAAGCAGGGCTGGTGTAATTGCCGCTGAGACGGTCCCTACCTGGGAGCCTGCGAGGGTTCCTCCGGGATATTGTGATCAGCAAGCAGGCGCAGTTCTGGCAGCAATGCTGGGGGGAGCCTGTTCCTGAGCACCCGTGGGTGTCCTGCTTGGCCCCATCGCCTCTCCGGGGTTCCATTCCTCTGCACTGCAGGCCACAAAGGATTAGGCTTAGCCAGGACGAAGCAGTGAATCAATGGAGTAAATGGAGTGTAATTCTACCATCAAGCACAGCCCCCAAGAGAGCCCACCCCCAGCTGGCCGGGGATTCTCCCGCAGAGCAGCGATGGCATCTGTGGGAATCAGTGTGTGTAAAGCCAGCATGCCCCTGGGAAATGCCCGGACCACCACGATGGCTCTGCCTCCACCCCATGCCAGATGCACCATGCGAGACAGCTCCCCCGTGTCACTGCGTGCCCAGATACAGAAGGGGACACACACCCAGCGTAGCAAAGGAAGAACCATGCAGGGTCCCCGCTGGCTTTCGAGTGGAGAACACTGCATGGAAGCAGCATTTCCTCCAGCTTGGTGGAACACCTGCAGGGCATGGCGGTTCCAGATCGTGGGCCATTTACATCCCCAGGTGGCTACGCTGCTTCTCATGGACGTGCTGATGTTCTCATGCCCCGTTGTCACATCACTAGTTCAATGCCTGTTCCCCCCGCTAACCTCCTCCAGCAGAGGCACATGTTCCCTTGTGTATGCTCTGCCCCCCCAGCATAACATTCCCCCGCCAGGCTCTGGGGAGGCCGTTGCGGGATCATGGACTTACAGGTCAAGATGTAGACATGGGCCGGCTCGCTGTGCCCTTGGCCTTGCTCGGTGTTCTGGATGGCCATCATGGACAAGCGATACCTCTGACCGGGAAGCAGGTCACGCACCGTGTAGGACGACAGCTTCCCGTTGGGCACGTAGCGGCTCTTGATGCTCTGGTTAGTGGTGACGTTGATGATATAACCCTCCACGGACCCTGCCAGTGGCTGGTCCCAGGTCATGTAGACAGAGGTGGCGCTGACTCTGGAGGCAGTCAGGTTCTGGGGAGGAAGAGGCCCTGTGCCAGCGGGAAGGAAACATCAGTCTGAATGATTTCAATGGAGCATCCCTTCACTGATTACATGGCTCAAGCTGCCTGTGATCTCCGCTCCTGGGAGAGCTCGGTGCTCTGAGCCTTGCCTGCCTGTGTTTAACTTTGCTTTCTCAGGGTCTGTCTTCACTACAGTTAACCCAGGCGTTGACACTACCCCCTTCCTGCCCACACCCAGAACCCCTCAGCTCACTGGCCTGGTGGGGGACGGGGCTTAGAGCCCATGTGCTGCTTTCACACTGGCTAAAGTACCTCTGATGCCTTCCTACAATTCCTGCCAGGTGCCCAGTTCTATCCCAATTCACTGGGACAGACTCAGAGAGGGGCTCAGCTCACTGCTGGAATGGCCCAAGCAGTCCTAGCGACACCCCAGGGGGACACAGCAGCAGCGAGGACCCAGGAACGAGGGCCGCCCGGGGGGGGGCAAGTGGGGCAATTTGCCCCAGGCCTCAGGCACCACAGGGGCCCCCACAGGAATATAGTATTCTATAGTATTGCAACTTTTTTTTATGGAAGGGACCCCCAAAATTGCTTTGCCCCAGGCCCCCTGAATCCTCTGGGCGGCCCTGCCAGGAACCAGGCTCTGGCTGTGCAGCATGACTGCTCACCCCCAGGCTAGGCTAACCTGGATGCTCAGGCCTGGGCTAGCTGTGAGCCCGGCACCAGTGTAACCGTCTGGGGCAGATCCTAGCATGGGGGGCTCT